TTAAGACTACTCTTGCTCTTTCAAAGTTATTGACAAGAAGTCTGACTTGAAAAGTGGCTACAAACAAGATGTCCTGACCTAGGGTGTGGTTACTTGGTGTTTTGGATACTACGATGACCCATAGAGGTGGATGTGCTTCACTTTGACTGAAGATCAGAGAATTCAAGCCTATTCCTGCTTCTTGAAGGATAAGACAGGACCCTAACCATAACTCTAACCCTAACCCTCAGTGACTGCTTACAGGGTCCTTGATCTAAGGTGTAGTTGCTACACATCCAGCCTAAAACATTAGAAGGCTTAACTAAAGAAATTATGACTTCATGTCTCAAGTATTGAAGCAAGTAACTGTTCTGGTTGTTGTTTGTGTCGTATTAAAGAGGTCTTTTGTCTTCTTCCCCCTTTTTATATTGGGGTATATAAGCATATGGAAAATAAATGCAGACATATTCAGTATTCACTGGATTGCCCTCCCGGTTCTATTTTATGTCTCTGTATTTCTTTCGTATCTCTGTTCCTCCTACCTAATCCACAAGCCCCTACCCTGGAACGAATGAACCCTGTCGAGACCGGACCCCGATAGATGCTGCCCCAATGAGTGGCTAAGACAGCCATGCCCAGGATCAGGCTGGCGAAAATACAGGGGAAACAAACACAAATAAATCATTTCAAAAATACGTGGGCACAGCTGAAACAAATAGGTTTCAGACAGAGACACACACGTGACCAGAGAAGCTTGTCTTCAGGCTGTAACTAGGAGGCTCTCTGTGGATCCAGGACCGAGTTACCTAACCTCTCCGAGCTCTGACGTCTTCAGCTAGGGAGCTGGGGGCAATCACACCTCCCCCCGGGATTGGCTTCCTCACACTGAGTTGGCACTGCAGCTGGGATGACTTCTATGGCAACAGAAAGTTAGAATGGCCATTTCACCATGCTGTCTGTCATAAGCACTGTACCACCAGGGGACCCTAGGGCAGCTGCAGAATTTCAGAGCAGACAGGAAAACGAGCTGAGTGGGAGACTGGCGGGAGAAGTTTGTGAGGAGGGGCTTTAGGCTCCTGCATCTGGCAGGAACCCCAAGAGCCTCGCAGCTGGAGGGGAGATGATCCTTGCAAGGTGAGAAGTGAAGCTTGCGTCGGTATCATCTCTGCGGGCACTGGACCAAACTCCAGGAGTCTGACCTCGAAGTCCACTCTTCTTCCACACCTAAGCACAGTAAAGCTCTGAGGAAAGGCTCCCACGTGACAGTTACCACAGCACAGCTTTGGGCACAGCTACACAGTAACTCCCTAGCAGTAGCAGAGCACCTGTGACCTTTGCAATAAGAATGAGTTCTATTGGCTGACAAACAGCCCAGGGCTGGGGACTAGAGCAAGGATCTGAGACAAGCCTAAGAATGGACTCTCTTGGTGGAGATGCAGACCACATGGGCCTTCTTTTGAATGAATGGCTTCCATCTGTTGAGAGACAAAGCTCAGGATTCATACCTGAACAATGCTCAGGACATTGGGGATTCGGGGAGAGGCTGGTTCCTAATGGAATAGCAAAGGACCACCAGCTGCTTGACTACTTTATGGCATTCCAGGTGAGAAGGCATCATTCATCTCCTTCCACTGAAGAAAATCAGACAATCCTGGGTTCTCCAATGCTTACTCTGAATTGTACTTCCTACATGCACCTTAGACTCAGGAATCATTTTAGAGGAGGGAGTAGAAAGATTCTAAGAGTCAGGTCATGACGTTCACTGTGAGACTGTGCGTCCTAGGAATGTCAGAGCGACATCCGTACAATCTTGTCGACATGACTGCCTCAACATGAGCAGAATGGCAATGCCAGCAGACACGCCAAAGGGGAAAGGAGAAAGCCCACGAGGCCTCGGCGCTACACAAAGAACTTTAAACTGTGAAGAAGGATGAGAACATGAGAAGCAGTGTTCCCTAGGAAGCGCACACCAACTGGTTACACAGTACCAAGTGATCAGTCCTGAAAACATACATACAGTCAACATTATATAGACTGAGCAGGATGCATTTATGTATTTAGGAATATATGTGTATATTCGTATACATATATGTATATGTGTGTATATGCACACATAACAGGAATTAATGAAAAAAGAGGCCATGAATTTGAGAGAGAAAGGAGGGGTATATAAGAGGACTTAGAGGGAGAAAATAAAAAAGGGAAATGATTACTTATATTATAATCTCAAAAAATAAATAATTTTAAAAAGGAGACTGTTTTAGAACTGTTTGTTACTGTGGTCCCAACTTCATCCCAAGCATAACCACATGTACAAGATGTGTTGGTTACTTTCCTTGTTGCTGAGACCAAATACTTGACATGAAGCAACTTAATGGACAAACAACTTCCTGGGATCACAGTCTGAGGGACACAGTACCTCCTGGAGGTTCCACAGCCTTCTCAAGTAATGTTACTGACCAGGACCCAGGTGCTCGGGCGCTGGACCCGAGACGGACATTTCCTATGCAGCCCATCATAGTAAGTTCTTCCTGGTGTGTCCTCCAAGCTGGGCCTGACTGGCACCTGGCAAAGTCTGAGCACCTGTGTCCTGGAGCTGGGGTGCTCAAAAAATGCGCTGCTGAAGCTCCAACACAGCACAGGAAGGAGAACGAGCGGGTTCCCATGACCCTCGGGTCAGAGTGATCTCACAGCAGCAAGGTCCCCACGCTTTCAGGCTACAAAGCCTGCTCACATTGGGACTTCAAAACAGTCCACAAGCAGAGATCCAGACCCCAACAGCGCTCTAAAGACTGGGGGAGGGGCTGTCCACAGTTGATCAAAGTGGACCTGAGTTGGTCCCACCACCCAAATAACTCAGCTCCAAGGCACCTGACCCTCTCTACTGACCTCATGAGTATCCACACGCATGTGGCAGACAAACACACATACACACATATAAATAAAAGTAAGTCTAAAAAGATTCTTATAAAACACTACTTTCAGAGATGTCCCCTACTCCTGGCTGGAGAACTATTAGCAGCTGATGGCTGCAGGACTGAGGAGAGTCTGTTTTCTTCAGGTAAGCGGCCCATGCTCCAGCGGAGGGCCCTACGTGCATGTGTGTGTGGGGGCGGCACACAGTGGATTCAATGGGTCATTAACAACAAGAAGAAAAACAAGAAGTTGAGGGCTGGTAGGGGGTCTGAGAAGAGCAGAAGGAAACTAGGAAGTATATATAATCAAAACACATAATACACATGCATGGACCTCTCAAAGAAGAAACATGTGTTTGTTTTTAGAGATTTGGGGACTGGCAAAGAGCTCTGCAGTTAAGAGCACCTGCTGCTCGTTCAGAGGACCCTGGGTCAGTTCCCAGAGCCCCCATTAGGCAGCTTACAACCTTCTGAAACTCCAGGGCTCCCTTCTGATTTCCTCAGGCCAATGACACACACATATGCACACATGAATGTTCTCTCTCTCTCTCTCTCTCTCTCTCTCTCTCTCTCTCTCTTTCTCTTTCTCTCTTTATCTATCTCTCTCCCTCTCTCTCTCTCTCTCTCTCACACACACACCTTTTTAAAAAGACTTTTTCAAAATTAACTCTTAATTTTTGTTTCACTCTTGAGTTTTAACCTGTTGCTTTCTGCACCACACTGAATCCCAGCATGAGTACAGGGTGGCTTTACAAAACTTTATGCTTCAAGACATTAACTGAAGCAGTGTGCACAATGGAAAAAAAAGATTAGAAAATATCTTAGCTAATTGTGCCATAATGAATGCATTAATGAAATAAGCAGTGATACATTCTCAAAGTGAATCATTAAACAGTGAAAAGACTAGCAAAAAGCACAACATAGAATCACACAGAGTGTGATCTAAAGCATGAAAAAATGTGTGAAAAACTTGGAGTAAAAGCACACTGTATTTAAAGCTGTCTGAATTATGAGAATTTTGTGATATTCCTTTACAATCATCTATATTTTATGAGTGTGTTTGGTACAGTCAGTTCCAACAGAAACCACTTAAAGGTGAAGTCCATGGTTGCTTGGCCCCACATACTTAGACAGAGCCAGGAAGTGACATGAGGAGGTCTCATCCCATGGCAGAAAGGAAGAAGAGAGAAGGAGAGAGTGAGGACAGGGTATAACTCAGGCATACAATGCCTCCTCTGGTTGGACCTCACCTCCTAATGTTCCCATCACCTCCCAAAAGAGCACCACAGGCTGGGAAATCAGAGTTCCACACATGAGCCTGTGGGGACAGTTCATATTCAGAACATGGCAACGGGTAAACATTGCTTCTATTTTCAGGGCAGGGTGTTGTGGGCAGTGGGACACTATCGTTTCCAGTCTTGAGGGCCAGACTGACCACACTCTACACCAGGACTCCCCAAATGTTTTCCCTTTTACACAACCCTAGGTGGGTGGGTCTGTAGACTGAGTATGCAAATCAGATGCTTAATAATATAAACCATACATAATTTTATTTATTTATTTATTTTGGTTTTTTTTCGAGACAAGGTTTCTCTGTGTAACAGTTCTGGCTGTCCTAGAACTAGCTTTGTCAACCAGGCTGGATTTGAACTCACAGGGATCCGCCTTCTTCTGCCTCCCATGTGCTGGGATTACAGGTGTGGGACAATACCTCCTGGCAGAATTTTATTTTAAAATTATTCCCTGGTACACACATATAATTTAACCATTATTAAATCAATCCGAAAGCAAATTTGTATAGTAAAAAGATGGATTGCTTTACCTTTCATTTTTTTACATAAATAATTAAATCTCATGCCAGTAAGATCACTTGGCACATAAATGTGCTTGCCACCAAGTCTTACAGACCTGAGTTCAGTCCTCAAGGCCCCGCATAGTAGGAAAGAACCAACTCCTACAAATTATCCTCTGGCCTCTGTATGTGTAGCAAACACACATATAAATAAGTTTTGAAAGATTAAATCTTGGCAAATATTTAAAATACTAGAGAACATAATGAATATTCAACATTTTTCATTGATTGATTGGTATTTTGATTCTGAGGGGTTGGTTTGGCTTGGCTTTGAGTCAGGGCTCATGCGGTCCAGCATGAACCTGAAATCACTGTAGCTGAGGAAACTTTTGAATGTCTGCTCCTCTGGCGTCTGCCTCCCAAGAGGTGGGATGGCAAAAGTGCCACCACGGCCAGTTTTGAGCAGAGCAGATTTGGCACAGAGTGGACAAGCACGCCAGCATCTGAGCTGCATCCCAAGCCCCTCGGTCATTGCTGCTTGGTCGGTTTCATTGCTGCTTTGTTTTCTGTTTGTTTGTTTTTTTCTGAGGCAGAGTTCATGCTGTAGTCCATGCTGGCCTTGAACCTGTCAGCCACCCTCCTACCTCAGTTCCCACAGGACTCACCATCCCACCATCACACCCAGCTCAACATATTGTGATCTGTAGGGATCAATGCTGTGAATAAAGTTTTAAATAAATGTAGACACAAAATGGCAGAAGTATGTTTATGGTCACAGAATTGTTAGAAATTCTGTTCTGATCCAAAGCCAAAATTCATTAAACAATTTTTAATGAAACTCAAGTCACTAATTCAGACAACGATGTTTTGAACTCAAGTGTTCTAACCCAGTAGGATGCACTAGCACACCAGCTTGACACCTGCATGCTGAGGTCACAGGAAAACACAGAAGTCTGTTCCTGTCAGCATCGCGGTTCACAGAGACAGACTCAGCCCGAGCAGCGGTGCTCCGGGGGTTCTTTGGCGATGCATGGTCATTGCACGCATGACACAGAGTGTGCCGTGCCTTGTGCCCAGAACCGAGGTTGTGGTAAAGTCTATCACCAGAAACTACCTCGGGTTCTGGATAGGTCTAAGTTTTTAATTCATTTCCTATTGTGTGTTCAGAAACCTTTTATTCTTGCCAAATTCTTTACAACACCACATTCAAACTCCACAGTTTAAGAAGCAGTGTTCTAGCACCCTCTCACCCATCTGTGTCAAGCTAAAAACTAAAACTAACCAGCAGGCAGAGCGAGGTCACGCAGGCCACAGCTCTCCTGTGCTCTCTTCGGCCGGTGGTGTCCTAGAACAGCGCCACCCCACCCTGGTGCAAACGCTTGGGAGCTTGTTTTCTTGGGGTTAAATTTAGGCCAGTGTCTCATTCCAAGTTCAGTCTGCAGCTTGGATGAGGTTCAGGCGAGCCTCTGTCTCGATAGATGGGGTGGAAGAGCCCTGAGGAACGGGTGGTTCCTTGAGTCGAGCTCCGCACAGCCACATGGTTCCCCTCTAGATGCACAGTCAGCACCTTGATTTCAGAATGTCTGATGCCTGGAGCTGTAAAATAACAAATCATTTTTGTTTGGAGCCTCAAAATTTGTAATAAATTGTAACAATGTATTATTATAATTATTATAATTGCAACAATGGCAGCTGGAAACTAATGCCCAAGGGCAGCTGTAAAAGGATGACAGCTATTTGTGTCTCACGGAATCGCTGAGTCGATGACAGGCAACCTTTGCTTAGCAATGCATGTGCTGAGCCCTTGGTGTGAGGCCGCTGCCTCTCACTGCTTTCTGCAGAACTTTATGGGAACCAGCCGACAAAAAGAAATCAAACTAGGCAGGAAAAGTGGCATCACATAAACGTCACCACCATGCAGATGACACTGAACTCTCGTGGAAGTCACACAAGTTGCTCAAGGTTACACAGCTGGCTACCAGCAGGCAGAAAAAACACTCCCCTCTTGACCCGCGCCAGGGCAGGTACTTTACCACACTTGCGGTCCTCCTCCTGCCAATCAGTTAAGTGTGTGAGGGTGCCTGCACCACACCCCAACGCAAGCAGGTGACAGTGGTGGCCACGAATCTGCCTCTCCCCAGACTCTGCCACTTTACCAGGCTAGAGAGATGCTTCTGACAGCTGTGGAGCTGTGGAATGCTCCCAGCCACTCCCACCTCCTTGGAGAAATGGGAAGCCACAGTCACCCTGCTATGCTCTTAACTCCATCTCTTGAAAATTGTCACCCAGAGAAAACTAAAGCAACGGCAGCGCACCTGCCTCACAATACAGACGCCACACTGGCTGCGCTCACATAGACTCCTCTATGGAGAACACTGCTAGAAATGGGCTGCAGGCGCCACGTGCTGTTGACACCATCTGAAGATGATGCATTCCTTCCATGTCTCTGAAATCAGGTGATGCACTCCGTTCACTGTGATGCCCTACTCTGTGATGGAGGAGGGTTATCTGTCTATTGTGTTATTTTCATTGGTCAATAAAGAGACTGCCTTGGCCCTTTGATAGGACAGAAAATTAGGTAGGCGGAGTAAACAGAACAGAATGCTGGGAAGAGGGCTATGAGGCAGATGCCATGGAGCCAGCCACCAGGTCAGACATGCTGAATCTTTTCCGGTAAGCCATTACCTCATGGTGCTACCACAAGATTATTAGAAATGGGTTAATATCAAGATATGAGAGTTAGTCAGTAACTAACTCTCTAGAGATAATGGGCCAGGCAGTGTTTAAGTGAATATAACTTGTGTGTTATTATTTCTGGGGCTAAGCTAGCTGTGCGGGAGCCGGGCAGGATGAAAAGCAGGCCTGCCCGCAGCCTCTCACTACATATGGCGCCAACGTGGATAACTGAATCCACATAAAGCTTGAGAAAGCTTGGGAAAGAATAGAGTAAAGCATGTTTTCTTGGTAGCAGCAATTTCTCAGGTCTGCTCTGCTTGCTAGAGGCAAGCAAGCACTCTCATCTAAGAGAGGCTTCCTGACTCAGCTTTAGCTGCAAAACTTTGTAGCTCATTAAGAGGTCCTGCCACGAAACACTTAAATGGTATTGATGAAAAGCTGAACACATGCTTTTCAGTTTTCAGCCATAGCAGGAAAAAAGCTGCGCTGTTTTAAAATGCTAGTTTTCTGGGCTGTCCTGCCAGGGCAAACTCTGACTCTTTCAGGTAGGCAGTCTGACTGAGTGTGGTCTGTGAGCAGAATGCTGCAGCTTGCTGGCAAGGACCTTGAAGCGCCATAGAGTTGTGGCAGTGAACACAGCTCTGGCTGGTACCTCAGCCACGAGGATTTAGCTGTCAAAGCCACGGCTTTCATCCTCTCTTTAAAGACTCCTGTAGTCAGAAAAAGAGAGATATATAGTAAAAGAAAGATTCGAAGTTGAAGAAAACCTCTAAATGGTTTACAGTGTGCTAAAAATATATACAGGCTAAAAGTTAAAGTTCTTAAAGTAAAGAAAGAAAGGGAGAAATAGGGTGTGGTGGTACACACCTTTAATCCCAATGCCTGGGAGGCAGAGGGATATTAACCTCTGTGACTTCAAGGGACAGAGGTAGAGATTGACCTCTGTGACCTCGAGGTGTGGTAGTACACGCCTTTAATCCCTATGCCTGGGAGGCAGAGACAGATTTCTGTGAGCTCAAGGTGTTGTAGCACACACCTTTAATCCCAGCACTGGGGAGGCAGAGACAGAAAGATCTCTGTGAGTTCAAGGACAGCCTGGTCTACAGAGTTATTCCAGGACAAAGATATACAGAGAACCTGTCTCAAAAAGTAAAAGTAAAAATATAAGAAATAGAGGTTAAAGTAAAGCCACATAAAGATGGAAAATAAACAGAGAATCTTGATACTGTATGCTATTATGCTCTCTTTGAATTGTCTGAATGCTGAGGAAGGAGCAACAGCTGCTAAAAGATATTTGTTTATAAATGCTGCTGAACTAATCCAAGATAGATATGTTGAAAATACCTTGACTTCTGAATTTGGATCTAAGGATATGATACTTTGGAAAGGAGGTTCTTCTTTTGTTTTCACAGAGGATGAGACCCTGTGGATTGCTTCTATCCCAATATGGTATGATAGACCACGCCCTCCTGAAAGGTTGCTGTGAACACCCTCAAAAAATTACTTCATTCACCTATCAACTGAGACGAAGCTAGCAAACAGGTTTACTGTGAAAGACCTGATTAACAGCGCCCCTATTCAGCAGGAAGAAGTTTGGAGAGAAATAACTACGTCCATATTCCCAGATATTGTTTATAAATGTTCTTTTACATTTAAAGGGGGATATGGTATAGATATGAATAATTTGCTTTGTTATGGATTTTAAGGTCAATTTTGTTATATGTGTATATATTTCTGATTTTGATTGTGTAGTTCATTTAAAAATGCAATGTATAATTAAAAATATAGGTTGTTAATGGATAATCATCGATAATAGTCAAGCTTGTAGTAATGTTAGTCTGATTTTCTAGAAGTGCATAGATATATTTCAGATAGACATCCATATCTTTCAAAGACTACAGAACATGGCATTTAATGTTTTAATAACTTAGGACAATGAGACACGTCTGCTCCTGGCAGCACCAATCTACTTCAAGAGGAAGATGGGCATCGAAGAGGCTCCTTATGGAGTTGGTTAGCCATTTGGGCAAGAAACTGCTCTTGCCTGGACTGTTGTATAAACTGGACACAGAGAACCCGCAGAGAGAGGACTGCTGAACTTGCCTAAAGGTGAGATGATCTTTCGAGGTTCTTGATTCATGAAAGAGTCTGCGAGACATTCTGCAGGACATAGCAGATAGTGACTGAACTGCCTTTGAAATTTCCTGCTTCATGGAAATGTCTCTGGATATTATGGGCCTGAAGGCTGAAGATGGGTGCCCCAACGATACAGAGGAACTTTGGGTGACTGTCCAGGCAGCGAGATGTCTCTGTCATTTCTAGAGTTTTGGAATTTCTTACTTCTTGTTTACTTAGGTAATATATCCTTCTGGAGTCTTTGATGGAGTTGAAGAATGGATAGTCATAGTTATAGTTCTCCATTATTATGATAAAGATATAGTTATAAATATTGTGACTGTAATTCTTGCTTGATAACTGTTTTGTTATGTGTAATTTTACTATGTTAAAATGAAAGCCTTTCTTTTTTGTTTAAACAGAAAAAAGGGAAATGATGGAGGAGGGTTATCTGTCTATTGTGTTATTTTCATTGGTCAATAAAGAGACTGCCTTGGCCCTTTGATAGGACAGAAAATTAGGTAGGCGGAGTAAACAGAACAGAATGCTGGGAAGAGGGCTATGAGGCAGATGCCATGGAGCCAGCCACCAGGTCAGACATGCTGAATCTTTTCCGGTAAGCCATTACCTCATGGTGCTACCACAAGATTATTAGAAATGGGTTAATATCAAGATATGAGAGTTAGTCAGTAACTAACTCTCTAGAGATAATGGGCCAGGCAGTGTTTAAGTGAATATAACTTGTGTGTTATTATTTCTGGGGCTAAGCTAGCTGTGCGGGAGCCGGGCAGGATGAAAAGCAGGCCTGCCCGCAGCCTCTCACTACAACTCTGGGCAGCTTCAGAGGGTTCCCAGGATGCGGTGCCACTAGAGTTTCCTAGGTTTTCCATAGGCACCTGGTGAACACAGGAACTAAATAAACACTGGCTTTCCCCTGAAGCCCAGGCCTGTCTCTCCTGCCCCAGGAGCAAGGCCCTGGTGTGAGCGGGGTTAGTACCATGAGGCCACCACTACCACTAGATCTTTCATGTTCACCACTGGTTGCCAAAGGAGGTTGGAACCTGGAACATGTAAGCAGCCCCAGATGTGACTATCGAAGTCACTTCAGGACTTTATTTCAGCATAAGAAAGACAGAGAAAAGGAGTGTGGGAGGAAAGAAATTATACATAAAAGACTGGAAAGGAAGTCAGCAGGAGTCTGCGGGACTGACAGGAATGGGGCTTCTAAGAGCGCTGGATGGAGGGTGAGATATGAAACTCAATTGGGGAGGATTTAATGATATAGGAGGCTCGCTTGAGCTCTAGGGTTTGGTGTGCTGGCATGAGCACCTGGGAGGCATCATAGTACTGTTGGCTAATGTTAGCCTGAACTCAACTGTGGCTAGCGAATAAGGAATATTTCAGAATTCTGAAGGAAATAAAACTGAAGGTTCAGGAAAGCAGATATTAGAAGGGATTTGTTCTATGAAGCATGTTCAGCTGCTCCTCAAGCATGGTCCCCTGAGGGTCAAGGGCATTCCCTTCAAAGCCCATAAGACTGTCATAAGTATGGCGCTCACTGGTGCCCTGGGAAAGCTCTTCCCAGCCTGCTGACTGTAAGGAGTCCCTGGGGGAAGTGACAGGGGATTGGGCCCCCTTATCTTAATGGGATTCCAGAAGAGTAGAGGCCAGTGGAACTCAGTTTCTCCAATGAACTGCAAGACTGGAAAGTAACAGTGCCATCTGGCTTGTAGGGATGGGTGGCACCAGTGAGCTAATGTGATTTCCCCACGACTGAAACAGAAAGAGAGACTGTTGAGGTTATG